ACCCTTGGCTTCTCGGGGAGGAACTTTGATTGGTAAGTCAGCTATCTCTTCAAACTGTGCATTTTCTCTCACATTGCCCACCATCTAAACTCCTCATTTTCCTAGATGTTGTTGGCTGCATGGCCTCTGCGACGCCCATCACCTACTTCCATAAGCAGGAACGTTCCATCAAGAGACATTGTTGTGATAACAAATGAACGGTTTGTTGTAAATTTCACTTTTTCTATTTCAGAATCATAACAAGTTGTTGCCTGATTTGCGGTGCTTCTTGCCAGCGATGTCTCATTGTCGGTCACACTCTGGTCAGAATTTGCCAACCGACTAGCCCTTCCTGAAATCATTGAGATCGATGGAGATGCACCCCTAATCGTTGCTTTCACCGCGCTGAGCCTCTCCGTATGGCATGGTACGTTTCTCCTTCCACTGTTTCTGTTTATATCGAGTTACCTGGATTTGTTTGTTGTATAGGTTTTCCCAGAAACTGGCACATTTACATAAGCCAATCTTATTCTTGCTACCTTAATTTGTCTTTAGGAAATGTGGGTGCATTAAGTACCTCAGCGACGCACATTGTCGTCCTCCCCGCGAACCCGCAGGCCCAAGCTCTTGCTGTGCAATAAGTACAGCCCTCATGACTTTGTCTTTCTCGCAAACTTGCCATCTCAACAATACAAATGGGTGCTTAAACATGGCTATACTGCAGTTTCGGTGATGCTGCTAGGCCTTTTGGGGTTGTCCCAACTGAGTGTGACACTTCGGAGAAGGCGGCTGCAGTCTACTGTGAATGATGTTCCCGAGGAAGAGAAGCCGGTGCATGCTCTTCGGCCTATGCAGGTTCTGGACATCAGGTTCGCATAATCTTTACACGGTTCAGTATGTATCGTGCATATACCATTATGGTCTGCATTCATGTTCATGTCATTGCAATCTTATATGATGGTCATTCATGTTCAAGTCACTGTCAATATCCCTCTAATGACACCACAAACTCTGCAAGGTGCGTATCACAACAAGAACAAAAAACCAACCATACTGACTATTCTTCTAACATCCATTTCACGCTATCTGCAGCTTCCAGCTCAATGTCCTTTGTCGAGACACCTCAACTTCCTGCATATTGCTCTTCAACAATGACGCATCGATCTCCTTGCCGCAAAAATCACCAGCTGAGTACTTGGGTCTCACGAACACTGCTGGGAATGCATGCCTTCAATCTGTCATCGGCAGAATGTTCACAATAGAGATTGACACTGGAGAAGACTCATATATTCCAAGTTCAGTGTTTGCATCATCAGCTCTGTTGTTCTCCATCAGAGGCACCTTCTGCAGTAGTTATCTTCATTTTGTAAAATGAGTTGCTTGCATTTTGTAAAACACGAAACTCGGCCACGCACTTACCTTCTAATTTCAATTCCCAGTTGCTTAACGTGCCTATGTTATGAGTTTCACTCTCCTCTGCTGGCTCTTCTACTTCATTTTTTTTATTTTCTTTTAATTTTATTCCCTTCCTCAAGTTGCTATCAATATCATATTATCATTAGAAGGTTCACATTCATTATAACTGTTCGATTTCCTACTTTTCCGAGACAATGGTCGGAAACGGTTTGCAAAGGCAAGCTGTTCTGATAATCTATCCAATACTCATCCACCGTTGGTGCTTCATAGCCTGGTGTGATAGAGCGTGTAATCGTTACCAACCATAATGATGTTGCTGAACGAGAATGTCGCACAAATATACCATCAAAGAGGATGTCACACAAATACAACGCTTTATATTTAGGACTGAATGATTTCAGTTCAAAAATTGTAAACCGAATGATTTCAGGACTTCTTCGTTGCCGATAAAACTCGTCCATTAAAAAGCCTTCAATTAAGCCCGACACACTAGAGAACAAGAAGGAGAGAACATCCATAACCATAGTGAACAGGCTGGAGGAAAGAGGATCACCTTTTCTGAGGCCTTTATGAGCTGGAAAAAATCCCTTAGATTCTCTATTAATTAAGACCGAGAGCCTGAAAAGGAGAGCAAACAGCGCCCTTGATCCAATTCGGCCATTTCGATGAAGCCAAATCTGGAGAGCACCTTAAACAAACAACTCCAATTGACGTTATCAAAAGCTTTCTCAGTGTCAAGCTTGAACAAAAGGCTTGGTTTTCTGCTTTTCCTCCGACTATTAATGAGTTCATTTGAGATAAGACCAGCTTCTGATATCTGTCTACCATGGACAGAAGCATGTTGGTAGTAAGACACAATGCTAGGAATCACCACACAGTGTCGTCGAGAGAGAACCTTATTAATCAGCTTGTTGATGCTTCTCATAAGGTCAATAGGTCGGAGATCCTTGACTTCTTCAACATAATCCTTCTTGGGACAAGGCAAATGAAAGAATGAACCGCACGACTGGAGAGAAAAGCAAAAGAATGAAATTCCATAAAAATCTTCAAAATTTTAGCCTTGATCCTAGCCCAGCATCTCTTATATAATGCAAATGTAAAAGCCATCGGACCCCATAGCCTTATCAGTTATCACCATCACAATCGACCAAAGCTTCCCAAATTTCAGATTCTGTGAATGGTTTAGTAAGAAAGACATCCTCGTCTTCTCTTAGTTGTTTGTCAATGAACACGTCTGGAAAAGGGCGGTCAATGATATCGTCGTGAAAGAGATTCTGACAGAAGCTAAGAATGTCCTGCGAAACAGCCTCTACTCTGTTAGCAAGCTCCCAATTGATTTTAATTCACCTAATGTGGTTGAATTTCCTTCTGTAGTTTGCCATCATTTGATGAAAAAAATCCGCTGTTTCTATCACCTACTTTCAACCATGGGATGTTTCAAAGATTTCATAATGGGAATGGATATAGAACAACAACAACCCAAGTACCCAACCCACTGCCATGCCTGGAATAAGAATGCTATAAATTAAAAAAAGAGATAATGAAAAGAAGTTGAATAAAAATCATATGATAACTTTATTGTTACTGTTATAAATAATAACTAGTTTTTTGGCCCGCGCTTCGCGGCGGTAAGAAACTAACTACATTTAAAATCTCATTCACGCATTTTATAATTTAATTGAAATCAAATAATTCGCAAAATATTTCGGAAAAGCTACTTTCATAAGCTTTACATAGAGTCTTAATTTTGAAGGAAGGTTACATAATATGTTTATGTAATTGATATGTGAGAAATAATAATCCATTTATAAGTTCTACATAATATATTTTTAATTATCATAATTGTTGTAGAAGGATGTTAAGCTGATCTTCGGTAATGTGTAAACTGAAAATAAAATAAAATAACGAAAAATATCACATTTGATTAAATTGTCATGTATAATTAACTTATCGTAGGGAACCTTTGCATAATGAAAATCGATTAGATAATGTGTATTGTTGATAACAGTAAATGACTTTTATTTTATAATAAGTGAATTAAGATATGTAAAGTATCATATTTGAAACTAACTCATCTTACAAAACCTTTTTGAAATGTAAGTTGATGAGATGATTAACCATTTGGTTACAATGTATGGCTTATTTATTCAAACTTGTATTACGTAAGGCTTACGATTATGTTTATTCAACCGATACATAAAAAATTACTATCCTTTCATAAACTTTATGTGTTGTCTTAGTCATTATAGAAGACTTATGTAATAAGTTTTGTTTAATGATACATAAGAAATAACAATTCATCTGTGAGTTTTACGTCGTATATTTGTAATTGAGGTAATTGTTATAGAATAGTGTTAAGTAAATATTTTATAATATGTGACCTAGTAATAAAATCAAGTTATGAAAAAGTATTAGATTTGAGCAAACTACTATGTAAAATTTAACTTACCTTATATAACTTTTCGTAATGCAAACTTACGGTGAAGATTGTAATTTATAATCAGCTTTACATAATGTGTTTCAATACCTAATTCTTCACTAATGTCGAATGAAAAAAATGGCTAAGTAATTTGCTTCTTGCAACTGTAGGACACGATGAATTATCAAAGTCAATCAATACTAATTATGACTGTTATTTTGTAATCTTTATGTATTGTATCTCACATGAGTTTTTATCTAATTGAAGATCTTTTTACGTAATGAATTATAACCCCACATCACCTAAAGTGTTCGATAATTACGAAAAATCTCAAGTAATATTACTTAATGATTTATTACGTAAAAAATCCATAAAACTGTCATTTCATAATCTTTACATAATGGATTTACAGTTATAAAAATGACATTACTTAATGATCAAAGACTTTATTTATAACTTCAAAGAATCAAATTAATTTAGAAGCTCCTTTTAAGGTTGCCAACCTGCAGGTTAACCTGGACTGGGTGAGGATAAACGGGTGTTACACGCCCGCAAGTCAACCCGAAGCAAGGTTTTCGAGTTGGACGTCACATGTCATTATTTGTCCATTTTGTTTGCGAACTATGTCTATTTTCTCATTTTCCACATTGCCTAACCCTATCTTTTGAATCTAGGTTGAAAATTTGAATATTGATGTTGTATGAGTGTGTTCGAATTTTTACTAAACGTTGGATCCAAGTACGAACTGTTCTTTTGGTGTAATGTTATATGTTTTATAAGTTGGATCCAAGTACGAACTGTTATTTTAGTGTAACGATATATGTTATTACTCATTTGGTAAATGAGATTAGATATATGAATAGTATAATAACTTTTTTTCATATATCCGAACTAAAGTGAGCAGACCGTTAACACTCAACCGACTTGCTCGACCTAACCAACAGGCTAAACCATGTTGACAACCTTGAAATAGACCCGCATAAAAAAACAAAATCAAATTGAAAAAAAAGTTACCATCAATTTAAAGGAAGAAAACAAAAGTTAGGCCTAGCTCCATAGTGCATACGGTACTTAGGATGGGCAAATAATTATGAGGTTAGTAATAATGGAACCGGCCGTACAATATAAGCTCCTCCAATGAATAGTAAATTGGGAGAAAAAGTCGTAAGGAATAGTAATGATACTTACGGCTTAATAATATTAATTAATAATTCACACAATCCAACTAAACAACAATCTTATGAAAGCCATAATCATCCAAATTGGTCACTAATTCTTCGGGTAAATGACACATTGGTCACTGAGATTATTAAATTATGTCATGTTTAGTCACCAGAAAAAATTAATATCAATTTTGGTCACTCGAATTACCGAAACTGGTCAAATTTAGTCACTCTTCCGTCAGTTTCCGTCCAACTCCATTAATGTAGTTGGACGGAAACTTTTGGGAGAGTGACTAAATGTGACATGTTTCAGTAATACGAGTGACTAAATGTGACATTTTTCAATAATTCGAGTGACCGGAGTTGGACAGAGGCTACAGAAGAGTGACCAAATGTGACCTGTGTCAGTAATTCGAGTGACCAAAATTGATATTAAATTTTTCTAGTGACTAAATATGACACGATTTAGTAATCTCGGTGACCAAATGTGTCATTTACCCCTAATTCTTCATTTTTCAAAATCAAAATTTTGAACGGACCAACAAACGATCCCTTTATTGTCAGATCATACATTCCCCTTAATGTCAGATCTCCATGGCCCTCTCAATAATTTGATTATGTTGATTGGAAATCCATCATTCCACTAGGCCTGAAAGATGGATAAAACGAGTTACAAGTTGATCGACTAAGCGCGATTACAAATAAATCATTTTGTAATATCTGCCGTCAGTTCACAGAGATTACCTGGACCGCTAATGGGTGCAGTTGATGCAAGAAATCTTCCATTGTGATTTTGAAACTCTCTTCATCAAAACCCATCTTCGTCGAATGGACACTTGACGCTCTGTTGAAAGCACGCGACACGGAACTATTCACCAAAGCTTCAAGCTCTGCACCACTGTACTTCTCTGTGCGAGCAGCTGCACAAAGAGGACAAGTATTAATACAAACACACAAAATTGAGCCCCAAACTCATTTATGAATTAGCTAAAGTTTGGCTCGAGCTCATTTATAGGTCTAATATTTTGTATGTCACATACGATAATATCTAAAGAAAATTCAGACCAAGTGATCTCATGATTATGTACTCTGTGGAAATCATATTATTTAGTTCGTAAGTTCTAACTAGTTCATATCGTGTTATGTAGCATAATAATTAGTATCCTAATCAAAATCTATAATACATAATTTCTCAATCAATTGGAAGCTTTTTAAACATCAACTGTGTTCAGATTTATAATCTCACAAAAATATAAATTACCAACAAACAAACTCGATTTGCTCATAAGGTACTCTATGAACTCGGCTACTTGACGTCACAAACGAGCCAACTCATGAGCAAAACAAGATTTAGCTCAACTAATGAACGAGTATTGGTGGTGGACGAGTTTTGTCCGTCCAGCCGTGACCCTAACTAGGGATGAGATGCAGACATCAGAAAGACGTACCAAGCTCCTGAAGGTTCACATCAGGAGCAAGAAAGGAGTTCTCCATTTTGTCTGTAAGAATCTCGAGAATCTGGAGGCGACCACTTTCATCAGGAAGGCTAAACTTCACTTTAAGCTCGAACCGGCCCGGTCTATACACCAGAAAACAAAATTGATCAGGGACAGTAGCCAGAATTTAATGTACAATGCTTCTAGGGCTTGATGATACAACTATCTAAAAAAATTATTTCAATATCCAACCAATCTAAATGGAAATCCTGACTTAGCCACTCTGATGACGGGTCAGATGTAAAGGGACAGTGTATACCAAAAATATGCAACTGAAGAGAGAAAAACCTTAATAGTTCTTCGGGGAGCAAATCCTTTCTATTGGTCACTCCAATAAGCAAGATATTGTTCAGCGCCTTCATACCATCCATCTAGAATTCATAGAGAAACAATGATGCAATAATTTATACTATGTTTAGGCGTTTAGTAAAGACGGCAACCAACCACTCTACAGTTTACCTTTGTAGCCAACTGCTGTACGATGCGGTGACGAGCTACTTCAGCAGCCCTTGTTGATCCTCCCATCTGCAAAGTTAAACTAAGAAATGATATCCAGGAATGGACACAAAAAATTTATAAACTAACAGAAAAAGGCAGACAATTACGACAAAAAAGTATAATTAATAAGTTAACAGCTGAATCAAAATTGTTTAATCCGCATTTAGGATAATTTCATAGGAAGAATTTTAAACCATTTCAAGGGATAAAATTTCATTACCATATCGTTGTGATCTAGATTTCATCACTACTGCAACTAAAGTTTAAGAAACACTGCATCCAGGGCAAACTTGGCTAGTACTTTACCTTGCATATAGCATCAATTTCATCAAAGATTATCACATGATGTTTACTTTGATCACCTGAAAGGAAACATTTACCCAATCCAGTTATCACAAGAGATCATGTCATGCCAGAATCACCTGAAGACACAGGGATCTTACCATGCTTCCTTTGATCATTTTCGGCATCTGCAAACAGATCTCTAATGTTCTTTTCAGTTTTACCAATCATCTCACTAACGATATCAGGACCACGAACAACCTGGACAGGATTCCATTGAAAGAGGGAAACGTCTCAGCAAGTTCATTGGTTTCGTCAAAGGAAAGCTCCTAAATTATGTAGATAAAAAACCCTTTTTGTTCCACATAGGTGATTGCAAAGCAGCAAAAACTCGCAGCAGAAACAAATGAAATGCAACTAAGCTAGATCCACCTTAGGTTCCTTTCCGTTCAATATTTTCCCGATCTGATTAGCCATCAGAGTTTTTCCTGTTCCAGGAGGTCCGTAAAGCAGCAAGCCTTTCACATGGTTAATCCCCAACCTAGATTACCACATTGACATTTGTCAACACAGAGCAGAACATATATATAATGCACATAACATCTGTTTTGATAAGTTGATATCCAAATTTTATTACTTGTGAAACATCTGAAGAGGGACAAAACGAGATAGCAAGGCTCTTCGACATATATATGCAAACTGTTCACCCAAGCCACCAATGCCGAGTGATTGTGGATTGAAGTCATCCCTAAGAACATTGCTACTGGCTGCTTCATGTTGATTGACAAACTGTAAATAAAGTTCAGTAGAGATCAAGATAGATGAATGCATAACCCAGCAAATTTATAAAGTCCTAAACCATAATACGAGAAAACAGGAAGGGGACCAGTTGAAACTAGTCAGCGACTTCAATACTATCTTAGAATTCTTAACAATCGTAAGACCGAGAGAATTGTATGTAGTAATCATATCTATTCCAAAAGAAATCAAGAGTATATAACCTTTATGCTACTAGTATTTGCTGCTTCAAAGATGAAGGAGGTGTCGTTAGAAATCATCCCTCTTTCAACATCACCAGAATTTTCTTGGCCCTTCATAATAACTTGATTAACGGTAAAAATGTAGGCAGTCATATGATACTCAAATGTTACTCTTTGCCCTGAACTCATAACCTGCAATGAACAAGAAAATTAACCAGAGTCCAGAGAACATTTTTCAATGTAGCAAATGAGAAAAATCAAATGACACCAGTAAACATTTGCATCACGCATATTTTCCTCATTCACCAACACATTCACAGTCAGTGGCATTAGGTATAAACTATTTATCTCCTTATATTCCACAGCACTGAGTGCCAGATACACTAACCAGCAAAAAACAAGATTCGCGCAATATATTTTAACGCCTTCCTCTAATTCTTGTTTCTTACAAACCAATCATCGAAGGCATGCAGACAAGAATTACTCTCTATATTCTATCAAACGTTAGACCCCAATTTATTCTATCACATGAAGTATTTAAGTGATGTACCTAGGGTTTCATAGTCAAAGAAGTAGAATAGTTGCTGAAAATTTCATGAACAGTGGAAAAGAAGGCTAGTTAGGGGCTGCCTCTCCAATCCAGTTGCAGGACTTCACTTGAAAATCCTCTCAAGAAAAGGTTTCGAGAATCCACCCAAACAAACAACCGAAATAATCAAATAACTCTATATTCAAGCCTGTGAGATCTGTACAAAATTCTTCCTATATGTAGGAGTCACAAACTTAATGAGCAAGAACTAATCATATTCTAGTATTACTTCGTAATACAATAATACTTCCCTAAATGACATTATCTTATCCAAGGAAACTTCTAAAAAATCTCCATAGCAGTAAAGAGAAGTTTGATCAGACATGCATAAGAGTAGTTTGATCAATCCCTTAGCAAGAACCAAGAAATTAAAGACTGGGCTTCACCTGGTTCATAAATATTTTCTTAAGATGGTTGGACAGCACAACAGCATCAACCTAACAGAAAGCAGGAACCTGTGTTAATCCAGTTATGTTGTATGTAGTAATAAGATCAATAGTAAACAATCCATTTCAGTACTATGATCTGATATATGTATATATTACTGCATAGGAACTGAATTCGACCTAACCGCCCTCATTTTTTGATCCCTTGTACATAACTGCTACAAATAAAATCATATATATCCAATTACACCACACCTAGACATTAATGTATTTACTATTACATGAGAGGCTCAATCTCTTAAATTATTTGGCTTTATTAATCATGTCATCCTTTTCCATTTTCGTAAAGCATGTGTTGTTTCACAATCAATTAAAAAAAAATGTAATCATGTGATGTCATCCTAACCCACAAGCCAAATACTCAGGACCCGCCACAACCTGATCACATTCATTCCTACCAGTGCGCATATACCTGTTCAGTTCTACTTGCTTCCTTCTTCACAAATTCCAGCTTGAGCTTGAGCAATGCAAGGTCAAAGTCATTGGGAGGGATGAACCTTCAGGAGATACAATAAGATACTATTTTTCAACTTCAAAACACTAGTACAAAGAAATCAAAAAGGAACAATCACCTGCTGACAGAAACTTCATCACCAGAAGAAACTTTAATACACCGGCGCTGAGCACCATTGAGCGCAATATGCCCTCTCTCAACGCTTTGATGGGAAGTAAGACTAGGTTAAGAAAGTGTTCACTCCCGGCAGATACATCAGAATTTACCAAACAAAGATGCAAAAAAAAAAAAAAAAAAAAAACAGTAGCCTTCAAGATCTCCATGACAAAGCCAGTCAAAATGCAAGACAATGCCACAACATTAAACACATCAGTCGACAGAAACATCGTAACAATGTAGGAGCTGAAAGTTTCTTTCTTCTACCAAAAAAAAAAAAGGTTTCTTTCACTGAACGCTTCAACTCAGCAACTAGATGATTCCAACCAAATCTTTCATAATTCACACAAGCATGGAAACAAAAGCGGTAAATAGAATTTCCTTCCCACAACCAAAACCCTTCCCCAAACAACACCTAATTGTTTGATTAAACCAAATTTTACTTGATTAAACCAAGTTGCTCAACGATTGATTAGTTTTGCCTGATTGTAAAGAAAGCAAACCAAAAAAAAAAAAAAAAAAGAGTAGAGCTTGAAAGGATATGCAAGATTAAGAATGACTCTATCGGCAAGCAAGGCCACGAAAAGCTTTGTCCCCGTGTCAGCAAAGTGGTGGAGATCAGCAGGGGAGCAGTAGGCGAGGTTCGTCATTGTGAGATCCATGGAAGGAATCTTGGTTACTCTCATTGTAGCCGGCACAGACATCTTGAAAGGAATGATGGGCTTTAGTCAGATATACAACAAAGTAAATTAGGGGTTAAGGGTACATGCTATTTGCGCCAATGAAGCAGAAGGGAACATTAGAGAATGGGTTTGTCTCGCAGAAATCAGAAATTAGAGAGCAGGGTTTACCTCAACGATGGAACAGAACAGAACAGAACAGAACAGAACAGAGGTGGAAGATTCGGTGGCCCGCGGACTCCGTTGTCGTTGCAGATCTCGTATAGTACCTTAGCTTCGATTTCCGATGAACTTGTCTGCAATAAGTGAAGGGGAAGGCATCAATGAAAACATTGTGAGAGTCACGACTGTAAGACAGTTTGACTGCCGACGAAGATAATCGAGATAAGAAGAAGTAGTAGAAGAGGAGAACGAAAAGTACGGAAGGGAGAACAGGGTTGGTTTGTCTTTTATGATCTTCGACCGATCCTATTTATAAAAAACTTTTACTTCTACCAAAAAAAAAACTTTTAGATTAACACCTATGACACGTAAGCATACCAAAAAAAAAACTTTTAGATTAACACCTATGACACGTAAGCATCGGAGATCAGCCCGTGTTTCTCGGTGCCGGTGGTTACTCTTTTTTTTTTTTTTTTTTTTTGTAAAACGAAGAAATTATTATTATTATGGGATGTATTTAAGTGTCAGAGGTCGAACTAAAGACCTTCTGCTACTAGTACAACTATCGGGTGGCCTACAAGGCTACAACTATTCGACCAGTTGAATTGAACTACCAGTCTACCACCAGACTTTACATATATTATTCTATTAAAAAATCAAAACTTGTTTCTTCAGAATAGCCCACTTTATATATTCAATCAAGTAAATCAATTTATATATTTTTATCACATTAAATATATGGACTTTGCTACGGTGACATGCATGTCACGGTGACATGCACTTTTCGGTCGACCTCATATAGGATCAGGTCGACCTAATCAGTTGTTTCAGTGTACAAACGATTTCATGGTGCCTACTTTGGAGATTCATATCTTACAATTGGCTAGATGGAAATTGGAGATTAAAGGCTTGTTTTGAAGCTGAAGTGTCCCTCTACACATTAAAGTACTTGGGAGCTCAATAGAAAGTCCAGAAGACCATTTTTGAACCTGACCAAAAGGCTATGCCAAAACTGGAAAACTGCCTGAAAATGGCCAAGTCTGGCAACGTGTTTGTCAAGCCTACTTTGGAGCTCAATTTGACAAGCATGGATGCGAGTCAAGTCCAGGGGCCTTTACCACGTTAAATTACGTATTTTTTTATACAAAGGCAAGGCATTGAATGAAAGATTGAATATCTTTAAGGCTTCAAACAAAAGGCTCGAAGTTGCTACGAAGGCTGTTTTTCTGGCAGCTTTCTTGTGCTCGAAGTCTGCCAGAAAAACAGCCTTCGTAGCAACTTCGACCCTTTTGTTTGAAGCCTTAAAGATATCCAATCTTTCATACAATTCCTTGAATTTGTATAAAAACATACCTAAGTTAACGTGGTAGAGGCTCCTGGACTCGACTCGCATTCATGCTTCTCGAATTGAGCTCAAAAATAGGCTTTACAAACACGTTTCCAGACTTAGCCATTTCTAGGCAGTTTCCCAGTTTTGGCATAGCCTTTTGATGAGGTTCAAAAATGGTCTTCTAGACTTCCTATCGAGCTCTCAATCACTTCAATATGTAGAGGGACACTCCAACTTCAAAACAAGTCATTAGTCTTCAATTTCCATCTAGCCAATTGTATGATATGAATATCCAAAGTAGGCACCATGAACTGTTTTTACACTGAAACAACATATTAGGTCGACCGAATTCTATATGAGGTCGACCTAATCCTAACTGAGGTCGACCGGAAAGTGCAAGTCACCGTGACATGCATGTCACCGTAGGCACACCCTAAATATATTCATCAACAAATTATTCAATATATCTGGAACCACTCTAATTTTTTTTATTAAAGATAAACATGTTATTTAATATAAAATTGTAATTTTTATGTTTATTGAACGTTAACAATCACAATTACCAAACAATAAACTTTTTAAAACCTATTTTTAACAATATGAAAAGTTAGAATCTTTATATTGTTGACAATCTATAGGATTTAGACCCATATTCTCCAAACGAGCCCTGAATCCATGATAAAAAAAATCAACTAAACCAGTGGCGTAACCAGAATTTGATCTAAGGGGGTGCACTCAAATAATTTTGAACAATGAGCTTTGATGCATCTGGCATTTGGTACATGAAATTATTTTAAAACTGCATAATTTTTCAAACTATCAAGATTTCGCACTTAATGTTATCCATTCACAATTTCATTTCGCTTGATTCGAAGGTTGGTCAATTGTTGCATTTCATAAAAGTTTGTAACATGTGTATTGACTAAACGATGAACCAAACTAAACATAGTTTCACAAACAAATACATTGATGGGAACCAATTTTTTCGTTGTTATAATAGAAAGTTTAATGATTTGTTCTAATAATATGTACCTCTTCCCCATTTTGATAAACTATACTGTATTACTACTGTAGAAATTAATTGGTAGAATTAATTTATATAATTGATTGTGGTTGTGATGGTAAATATTTGACAATTAACATTGAAATTTAAGGTTCACATTTCATTATTGGTATATCTATACTACTATATTGTGTGTATTACTCCAAACCAAGGGTGTGCCATGACACACCTTTCATTACTCTAGCTACGCCCCTGAACTAAACAAATAATGTTATCTTTCAAATACAAAATGCAAAAAATTATTGTAAATCCAAAAAAATTCAAAACACAAAACATTAGTTTTCAAATCCAACAAACAAACAAGCCTATAATTTCTTTTTCATATTATTTTACCCACGGCAGGACTTGATTTGCATTACCCATATACACAAAATCAGCCACCATTTGAGAGTAGAGTATAGGTAGCAGCCACCATTTTATAAGAGAAGCTTTTATGCAAGTACAAGATGTTTCTTAACATTTTTATTAGGGCTGGGAAACGGTGCGGTCTGGTCCAGACCAGACCATATATACGGTCTACGATCCAGACCGAGAGGCTAAAGTATAGACCACAGACCAGACCACAGACTATACGGTCTGGTCCAGACCACGCCTGTGCGGTCTGGTTCGGTCTGGTCTGGTCCAGATAGACCACACTCAACGAAAAATGAATAATTTGTTTAGTCAACCACACAAAAAATTGAACCAATAACCAAGAAAAATAATTGTTATTTGCCTTAAAACATTAATCCTAACATGCATGAATAATTTTGATACTCTAAATCTTAGTACATAACAAAGATACAAAGTAAAAGCATCCCAGCTTGCACGATAATGTCATAAACATTAACATAATGTCATATGGAGACACGATTATCTCTACTCTATGGTTAAATGTGGTTGTGAATGAAGGAGGGAAGAGATTCACAAAATTAAGGTTGAGACTTGGGTGTCGTTGTGGGAGTTTGGAGAGTGGTCGAATGGGTTGTTAACACGTATTGACAAGTCAGTTGGGTCTACGGTTTGGTCCGGTAAATCGCGGTCTAGACCAGACCAGACCAAGAGATCAAATCATAAAATAATATAGACCATGGACCAGACCAGACCATACTTCACGGTCTACGGTCCGGACCAAACTGTGCGGTACGGTTTCGACCACGGTTTTTCTAACGGTCTGGTCTATTTTCCCAGCCCTAATTTTTATATTCTGTTTCCAAAAATTATAATTTTCTTTTATTATATCATTTTAAATTTTTAAAAAAATATATAATATATTAATATATGTTTACTTTTTTATATTTGAAATATTTTTTATTATTCAATGATACTTCTACTTCTAATATTAAAAGTATTTCTTATAGTTTATTAGTCATACACTAAATTGCTTTTTTATAAGTTACTTTTCTAAAAGCTCCAACTACAAGATGTTTTTACAAAATTACAACAGGATCAAACTATCACATTGTATATGCTTATGGCCAATTTATTCAATGTCTAATATGCATAAATTAAGAGTTCTGTATTTTGATTATGAAAATGTACGGTCTATTTTCAACACAAAATTATCCACCAAATATTGAGTGGTTGGTTAAACTTCTATAAACCTGCATTTAAATAACACAAACCAAATTACTTTTGACAAATATTTTTCAATGAAAAAGATAAATATCCAAAATAATTAACAACCTCGAATTTGTATTGTTTTCCTTTTTCCCCGGGACACTATTTATAATTAGTTAGATTAACAGTGGAATACAATTTAATAATATATTATTTTTTAATATAATTATCAAACACGTATGGAATTAGGGGAAACATAATCATCACGTCTAAGCCATAATAAATAATATTTTTTATTATTAATTATTTCCTTCTTTGATTGCTACAAACGAAATTAGGGGAAACATAATTTAATAACTAATTACCTGTTTTAATAAATTAATAGTAGTTGAGTTTAATTTAAACACTACCTTTATTCTACAAATTTCCTTAGTTACCAACTTCTAATTGACAACCGAAACAAATTTTCATAATTACCTACGTTTAACACAATTTTTTAATTACTATATTATTTTCAAAGTGATTATTCCTTTAAATTTTTGCCTTAATTTCGTTCCACATGATTAACACTCGTGATTGATTAGGTAACCGACTCGGTAAAAAGGGAGGGGGAATCCCCATAATTAATAAATTTCTTTAATTATTCACATTTAACACAATTTATTAATATTTATTTCTTTAATTACACTCGTTTAAGTTAACGCATCGGAAACAAAAAAAATTTATTTCACTCATTTCCTCAATCAAAGTTACCGTCCGAACTCCGGCGTCGCACCACCCATTCCGGCCTGAAGTTCGACCGACCCCGTCCGACGCCAGAGATCGGACCCCGTCCGACGCCAGAGATCGGACCCCGTCCGACGCCAGAGATCGGACCCCGTCCGACACTTGTGTGCGGACCCCGTCCGATTGTCGCAGGCGGATGGCGTCCGCCGCCGGCGAGGCGACGGTTTTTTTTCTTCCTGTTCGTTTATTGGGAGGTCTGGCGGTTGTGGGTTGGGAGGTCCGGCAGTCGCGATGATATGGTGGACCGCGGAGGAGATGATTAGGGAGGTCCGGCGGCGGTGATGATGTGGTGGGCGAAAGTGGAGATTGTTTTTTGTGGTCAGCGGCGGAGGTTGCACTGCCGACGGCGATGATTGGGAGGGAAGGGTGTGAGGGTGATGGAAGGTCAGGATGTTGATGGGGGCAAAAATGTCATTTCGGATTAATACATGGGCGGCAAATAGTAAATGTATGGGCGGTAAATAAGTAAATAACAACCCTCGTATATAGCCAATGTCAGAATAAGCGATTTGACACCTCAGCCTCCTGTATTTTCATCTCTCCCGTGAACCACTTCACTTA